CTTCATGTGATATGGCACCCATATGGCTGTGGCTCCCATGTGGAGATCAGGGAATAACTTGGAGTTGGTTTTCCTTCCACCACAGCAGACCAAGGGATTTAACTCAAGTCATTAGCTTGGTGGCAAGTGCCTTTCCCCTCTGAGACATCTTACTGCCCTATGCACTTTGACTACAGAACCATTTTGATTACTTCCCCCCTGGGCCTTATTTCTTTTTTTTAAGCTTTTGAATTGTCCCAAGTGCCTCTTGGCCCAGTGACTTATCGCTACCCTTGGAAAGAACTATAGGCACAAGTTTCTGTCCTGCAAGCCACTCCTAATATTAATTATAAATGCTCAACCAGTAGCTCAGGCTTGTTACTAGCTAACACATTTCAATTAACCCATATTTTTATGTATGCTTTGCCACGTAGCTTGGTACCTTGTCGCAGCATGGCGTCTTGCTTCTCTCTGCATCTTGTCACTTATCCAGACTCTACTCTCCTTCCCAGCATCTTCCTAGTCTGGCTTTCCCACCCAATCTGTTCCTGCCCAACTACAGGCCTGTCAGTTCTTTATTAACCAATGAAAGCAATACATACAGTGTACGGAAGGATTGTCCCACAGCAAAGAACTGTATGAAGACCGGGAAATGAAACCATTGGAAGATAGGTTTACTAATAAGTCAGGGTGGCAGGCAGGCATTTTGTTGTTTGGGTGTTTTGAGACAGGGTCTCTATATATTCCTGGGTGGCCTAGCACTCCCCAATAAAACAGACTGTCTTTGAGCTTGCAGTGATTCTTCTGCCTCTGCCTCCCAGTGCTGAGTCTACAGGCAATAGCCCCTATATCCAGCTTCAGTATAGTGTTTGCTGCCAGAATGTTAGGCTGTTTATATACTGGGAAATACTATCTATGTGGCCCTAAGGGTTTTAAAAGATTATTATTATTATTTTTATTATTACTAATACTACTACTACTGGGAGGCCAGAGCATTGGATCCCACTGGAGCTGCAGTTATAGGCAAGTGTGAGTATCCCCACATGAGTATCAGGAACCGAACTGGGGTCCTCTGCAAGAGTTGTGCGTGCTCTTTACTGAGCCAGTTCTCCATTCCTGGTCTTAAGGTTTTGAGAGGACTGTACAGATGCTCGGCCACTCTCAGGTGCTAGCCCTGGAACGCTTTGTGTTTGGTACTGTCAGTTTACTCCAGGACCACCATCACCAGGACCACCACCCAGTACACAGGATGAGCTGTCCCAGGAGCCATGGCGTCAGTAGAACTTTCCGTGTTAAAAGGTTGGCTTCTTAACACTTTATATTAAAAAAAGAGCTCATTTTCCATGATGCCCACCAAGAGAAGGCCCAGAATGTAGGTTATTCACTTAGCAGCCGTGAGCTGGAATGATAGCAGCCCTCCACTACCAACCCATTTCCTGCCAGCCTCCCCTTGTTCGTCTCAGACTGGAGTTGTGCAACAACCTCACTCCATTTCACCATTCTGGAGCCTTGGATCTGATGGAATTCTTCTGTCAACCCTCTTAATTTGCCTGTTGGTATAAGTCCATCTTGCTGATAACATACAGTAGTAGGGAACTGGGGAGATGGCTCAGTGGTCAGAAACCAGACAGTTCCATGTGGGTTTCCAAGGCCTATGCAGCCATCAGCAGGCACCTCTGTCAGCATGGATCAACAGCAGAGGCGAGGGCAGAACCGAAGGTGTTCGGTAAATCCAGGGTACAAAGCAAAGCCCTGTCTTAGCGGCTTCCGATTCTCAATGTAGGTGTTAGAGAGTGGGTTGGGTACGGCACAGTCTTCCTGTAGGAAATGCATCCCCAGATGCCCAGTCTGTCTCAGCAACCAACTGTTAGGTTCCTGGGAAGACACCCCCTTGTCAGACCGCTTCCTCTCCGCGTTGGAAAACGGCATCTCTCCTGGGCACTGACTCTACTGGATACTTGGGGTGGAGGAGATGCATCACCCAGCCCCGCAGCCGGCTGGAGAGCAGCTTGCTGCTGATGTGCAGTTACTCCCACTCACATTCGTCAGCTGGCAAGCACACCACCAGATTCAGGGACTTTGGAGAAAAGGGGAGATTGTGATAGCAAGCTCCCACCTGTGTGGTTTAGTGATCATGCTTGACTCATCAGGAAATAACCAAGGTGAGCACTAACACATTTGGCAATCATGACTCCCGCCCCAGCCTGTCTTTTATTTGACATCCCTCTCCTTGCTTAATATGGGTAAGACCAGGCTTCCTGCACAGGTGAGTCACCCATCCAGTTGAAATGCTGCTTCTGGTAACTCCTGAGCACGTGCCTTTAGGGATGCAGGGTTAGACGCGTGACAGATGAGGTAGTGACAACCGCTTCATGTTACAGTTCTCAGTGGGACTTGGTCAGCTTGCCCAGAGATGGCCAAAGATTGTCACCTTTGATGGAAACCCTTGAGCATGTAGGGTTTTGTTTGAATTTTATGTGTATGGGTGTTTTGTGTTCCTGTGTGTCTGTGTACCACATGCATGCCTGATGCCCAAGGCAGTCAGAGAACAGTCTTGGATCCCTCTGGAGCTAGACTTCTAGGTGGCTGTGAAACACCCTGTGGATGCTAGGAATTGAACTTGGGACCTCTTAACCAATGTACCTCTCTCCAGCCTATAGGATTTTATTATTATTATTATTATTATTATTATTATTACATTTTGTTCATTATTTGTGCGTGCCCATGTAAGGTTGTGGGCGTTTGAAAGGCAGAGGACAACTTATTATTATTATTACAACATTTTGTTCATTATTTGTGCGTGCCCATGTAAGGTTGTGGACGTTTGAAAGGCAGAGGATAACTTGTTAGGAGTTGTCTTCTTCCACGATGTGGGTCCTGGGAATTGAACTCAGGTCATCAGCCTTGGCAGCAGGTGCCTTAACCCACTCAGCCATCTTGCCTGGCTTTTCTTTTGTCAGTGCTAGGAACTCAACTCAGCCTTGTACACGCCTGAGAAATACTCTACCACTGATCTCCTGCCATTTTTTTCCTTTCAAAAAAAAAGTTGTATTTATTTGGGGGCTGGTGAGATAGCTCAGCCACTAAGGTCATTAGTTGCTCCTGCAGAGGACCTGGGTTATGTTCTTAGCACCGACATGGTGGCTCACAACTATCTGTAAGTCTAGATCCAGAGGTGTGGGCCCCTCTTCTGTTCTCTGAGGGACCCAGGCATGCATGTGACTAAACATGCATCCCTACATACATACAGACAAAATACTCATAAATTTGGGTGGAGAGCCGGGCGATGGTGGCGCATGCCTTTAATCCCAGCACTCGGGAGGCAGAGGCAGGCGGATCTCAGTGAGTTTGAGACCAGCCTGGTCTACAGAGTGAGTTCCAGGACAGGCTCCAAAGCCACAGAGAAACCCTGTCTCGAAAAACAAAAAAATAAAATAAAATAAATAAATAAATTTGCGTGGAGAAATGGCTAAGTGGTTGCTCTTCCAAAGGACCTGGGTTCAAGTCCTAGTACCCAAAAGCCAACTCAAAACTGTAATTCCAGTTTCATAGGGTCTAACTCCCTCTTCCTGTTTGCGAGGGTACCAGGCATATATGTGGTGGACAGACATACAACCCGGCAAAACACCCATACAGATAAAAATAAATAAAATGAAAGAAGAAAGGAATGAACTACCATTGCTCACAATTAAAAATAAATCAAAATTAAATAAGTTTAAATGGAGTAAGTTACTTCAAATATTTCTTTTCTTTTCTTTTTCTTAGCCCTTTCATCTTTATGTCTACTGAGTTGCCAAATGGTAAACTGAGTTTGCTACGTTGCTCCTTCTTGGCCCTTGCCTGGAGACTGTCAGCTAGGTCCCTTAGCGCTCTGCACAGGTATCACCGGGATTTACTGATCCTTCACTCACCAGGCCAAGTTCAAGCCTTGGCCAGCGCCTTCCAATCCTTACCTGGCTGTGAGTCAGGGGTGGCAACAACCTTGGAGAGGCCCTGGAGGATTAACGCGATTAAAATGTTTATCCAAGTCCCACTTCAGAGCCAGGAAGCGCCCCATTGTGGGTTAGGTCTCTAAGGATCATACCTCACTGTTGCCTCTGAAAAGGTGCCAGGAGCCCTGTAGAGACAGGGTGCCTAGTTCCCGACCTGCCCCTGGGAACTCCTCTGAGGCAGCAAATTCAGGTTCACCTTCACGCTGGCGGTGTCATCTGCCCGGGTGTCCCATGAGATGGGGACAGCAGTTACTCCCCCTGGTCCAGAACCCCGGTGTCCTGGATTTCTGTCGTGTGGGGCATCGGCAGTTTCTGATATGTTCTCTCCGCGGACTTCGGGTTTAATACACACCAAGTGCCTGCCTGGCTCGAATTTGTCATTTATTTGGGCCACCTACAGCGCTCCTTGCTTGATGGGATCAGAAGGGCCCTCTCTCTGTGAGCGCTGGCTAAATTCACCCACCATTTCCCCATTTAAGTGGATTTCCACGTAGCCTTAAGGACAGGGTCAGCGCTCTGTGCTGGACCCCAGCCGAGCAGCCCAGAGAATCCCTCCATGGAAAGGTAATCCGTGTCACCAAGTCCCCTGCCGTTTGCGTGTGAAGGTGTGGTCATGGAGCAACCGAGCGGAGCTGGGCCCTGGAGTGGGAGGTGGGAGTACCAGGCGAGTCGCGAGGCCCTGAGCTCCACGGGTCAGGATGGCTTCTCGGAGGAGGAGCGACAAGGAGGACCCAGCCCCGGGCCGCGGCGTGGGCGGAGCCAGGGACCCTCACAGCCTCTGATTGGGCGACGGAGCCGAGCGGAGCCGTTCCGCTGGCTCCGATTGGCTGGTGAGGCCGGCGCTGCGGCCAGGTGACGCCGAGGATCGGTCCCTGGGCCACGTGGGGGGCGGGGAGGCGGGGGCGGGACGGGCTCGGCGCTGGGGAGGCGCGCAGGCAGCGAGGACCCGAGCTGTGAGACCTGCCGAGAAACGCGACAGCGGTGGTGAGTGCGCGCGGGGACCCTCCGGGCGCGGGTCGGGTCGGAGGGGGTCTCCCAGAAACGAGCCACACCACCACCTCCCGCCACGAGCTGTTGTCATCATCCCAGCCCTCGTCTCCATCCCTTCCTTCCTGGCGCCGGGGCACCTGAGTTCCCCGAAAACCTAATGTGGGGACGGTGACGTTTGCGAGGTCGCTGTCAACGCTCGCACGCGCTCCGCACCTCCGCGCGCGACCGTGTCGGTGTTTTCCGCATCCAGCCAGCGTGCTCTGCGCGTTCAGATAGATTATCGGGAGGAACAGAGGCTGATGAACAGCTCCCAGGACATGGCTGCCTTCGCGGTCCCCTCCACAGCTGAGGTCCTGGAGGCTGGCAGGACAAGGTCACACTAACTAACCCTGCTGAACCCCAGTCCTGTCCCTGGTTGCGCGGGTCCAAAACTCGTGGGGGGCGGGGAGCGAGGGCGCAGGGGATCAGGGGTGTGATGGGCTTGGGAGAAGGAGTTCTGCCTTTCTAAACAGTTCTGTCCCCAGCTCCTGAGTTGTTACGGACTATGGGACTCTACTAGTGGCTGCTGTACCTGCGGCACCTATTCCTGCGCAGACCCAGATTCAGTGTGTGCCAAGGATGGACGCCTGCTTGGGGGACCCATAGACTCTAGGCAGAAGGGCACTGCCATGCCTAGGCAGAGAGTCTTGGGTTTGCCAGCTCCCTATCCTGTGCTTTGTGTCTTTGGTCAAGTAGCTGGGATCTGCAGGCAGGGTTGTCTCCCCAGTAGCCTGGGGGGATGGGTAGTTCCGCTATAAGGTATAGAGGGACCTGTGATTCTGCAGTCAGCCTAGCCAGTTCCCTGCTCCTAAGCAGAACCACCCAGAAAACAGAAGCTCAGCACCATCCCAAATGTGTCTTTCTGTAGGAAGGCCCTGGCCCAGAAGATCCCTGTGAAAAACTTTGATTTGATTCAAAGAGATGAGCTGGGTGTGCGGTTGTTACCTCGACACACACACACACACACACACACACGAGACAACAAGTGGGTCTCTGTGTGAAAGTATGAGGTGCTCTAACCCTTGGTTCTTTACCCCTCCTTTCCCTGGTGCTTGCTGGGCCCTGTGGCCCAGGCAGGGCATGAAGGGCTCTTGACAGCTCTTTGTCTCTTTTGTGGTTGCTTTTCTTCTCACCCTGTTCCTCCTCCCCCCACCCCCCTTCCTTGTGGATCTCATTGCTTGCTGTGTGTCTTGTGGTCTTTGCCCCCTGGCTCCCCTCTGCCTACAAGGGTGATGGGAAAGTGAAGAAGCTCTTCACTGCCTCTCGGGTAACCCGGTCCCCCTGCTGGGAAGGGGCGGGCAACCCGTGGCAGGTGGAGTGTGGTTTGCTTTCCGCAAACATCAGATGTGCCGTTGGGACAGGCGACTGGAAAATGAGCAGGATTAGAAAGGGAGGGTCAGAACCCAGGTTGGCAGCAGCCTCATGGAGGTCTGGGTGGGCTCTGAGGGAGACTGCAGCCTTTGTTTCCCGCTCTTCCTGGCTGGCCTCTGGCTTGAAGGTCACTGTCAGTTAGAGATGGAGGGCCTCTCCAGGGTTCTAAGAGGGTCAATTTTAAGGCAGCAAGTCCCTCCCTTTCCAAGCACACCTGATACTCTGGCACACCCAGGCCACACTACTAACCCCTGGTCTCTCCAGGGGAGTCAAAGCCTCTAGCCAGCCTTCCTAGCCTACTCCCAGTGGTGGTGAGGGGCTCCAGTTCAAAAGTCTTGAAAGCGCTAGAGTTTGCTGTCTTCCCAAGCTCCCTTCCCAACCGCGGCTCGGCTCGGGACCATCTCCTGTGCCATGTCAGGTTGGCATCATGCCAGGTACCTCACTAATTCCACAAGGCTTGCAGGTGAGTAAGTGAGGGCACAGAGAGGTAGGGCAGGTGGCCCAAAGCCACGCAGACCTTGCACCCAGACTTCTCTGACTCAAGTCAGTAATTGCAAAAAGGTTGGTGTGAGTGTGAGAGAGGAGTGTCGGGGCGCGGCGGGGGGGGGGGGGGGGAGGTGAGTCTGTGGGATTCTGCCCTGCATAGCCGTCCGTTATTCATCTGTCCCACATGACTCTCCCACCTCCCCTCCCCCATGGATCTGGCCAAGGGTCCCAGAAAAAAACACAACAGGGGCAAAGCAGGAGTGCTGTTTGTCAGTCTCCTGGGCAACTGTCCGTCTTCTCCACATCCCACTAAGTACTGGTGCCCCATTTGCATGGATCGTGGTTTTCCTGCCCTGCAAAGAAAGGGCTTTGGGACTCAGGAAGGGACTGGAGTCAGGCGGTACAAATGCGCCAGCAGCCTTTAAAACAGGTTCCTGGCATCACCAATGCCAGCCATGCAGCTCACCACCGCCGGGCCCTGCTGCTGCCCCAGGGCCTGCTATGGCTCCCCGTTGTCTGCAGCCCAAGTCTCATTTTAAGGCTGCTCCTGAGTTGGATGCAGCCGGCTGTTTTGGCAGTCCGCTGCAGGGCCTCCCTTCTTCCTGCAGCTGCTGCTCCGTTCTTCAGTGGACTCTTCCCATACCGTTAGACTTTTCCTAGGACACCTTTCTCAAGATGGGGGTCTTGTATTGCCCACACTGGCCCTGAACTCCTGGGTTCAAATGATTCTGGCCCCCCTCCCTTGGCCTCCTGAGAAGCCAGAATTACTAGCAGATATCAGTTTCCTTCTGGCACTAAATAAGAACTGGTTCCGAATTTCTACCAGCTTCCACCATCACAGAGGGGCCAGCCAGCACTGCAGCCCCAGCTGTAGCTCAGTGGCCCATGCCATGAGCCATCCCACTTCTAATCAGTCCCTCCCCAAACCGCCTGCCAGTGCAGTTTTCAGCCACAGAGGAGCCTCCAACCCCATCTGTCGCGCTTCTCCATTTTGCCACCGTCTCACCTGTTCAGGGCTTTTTATTTTGTTTCCCGCCTTGCCCCCGCCCAAGAGCGCTGTTCTCAGAAGCAGACAGTTTGTCTTTTGTCTCTCTGTCCTGGGCCCAGAATACTGATGGGCACGTAGCAGGCCCTCAGTGAGGATTTGTTGGTTGGCTGAATGAATGAATGAGTGTTGGAGCAAGCAAATGAATGAACACACCAGCCCTTGAGAGGGAGCCTTCAACCTTCCTGCCTGAAAACCAACCTCTGCCCTGCCCTTTGTAGCCTTCTCTCCGTGGAGCTCGAAGCTGGGCATGCTGGGGACCATGCAGAGGGCTGGGGCCGGGGCCCGCAGGGCCTCCGACTGTGGGCCTGTACCTTACCGGCCCAGGTGCATTGCCAAGCTTGCCCAGGTGGGTGGGTGTCCATCTTGTGTGCTCTAGAAGACAGGTGTGGGGTGGTTGCTTCCTGGGATTGGGGAGGACCTGGGGCCCAAGGACCTAACTCCATCTCCTGTGGAGTGGATGATGTGTGTACGTGAACATTGGTGTAAGTAAGAAGAAGAGGCCCATGTGACCTGACCAGGGTCTCCTGCTGAAAACATTAACAAAGTATCTGCAGAGCGAGTGCTGTGTGCGCTGGAGTTGTGGCCCTTACTCTGTGTCTTGCTTCTCTGTCACCGCCAGTATGTGGGATCCTTTCCTGTGGATGACCTGGATACGCAGGAGGGTGTGTACCTTGTGCAGCAGCAGCTGTGGGCACTGCAGGTGAGGGTCTTGGGGGGCACAACCCAGAGCTGCACACTGTGAGTATCAGCCTTGGATGGAGCCCTAAGGCCAGTCTCCCCTCACCCCCACATCGTCCAGATGGACACATGGGGGGCCAAGGGAGCACGATGGGACCAAAGGTCTTCTGAGAAGTCCCAGGACTCTTCCTGCATGCCTGGGGACCCATGACCCACAGGTCATAGCATGACTGTCACCCAGGTCTCCGTCCCAGGGCACGGGTGTTGAAACTGGCTGAACAGCCTTGATGAAGGGCACTGTGGCGGGACTGCATTGGGCCAGAACTAGGAAGTGACATCCACCTTTGCCAACTCTCGTCCCCTCAGGACTGTTCCCGACGCCGCGCCATCATCCTGAAATTCAGCCTTCAGGGTCTCAAGGTCTACAGTGGGGAGGGTGAGGTAGGAGGAGTAGAGGGGGCCCCAGCGGTGAGGGCCACACTGGTCTTCTTACAGTTTGCCTTATGCCCACCCAGGACTAGCTCAGAAGGCAATTGCTTGCCTAGCCCTCCAGAATCTTCTCTATAAGCCACCTCCTGTCCTAAATATCAGAGACAAACACTCCATGAGATTTTCCAAGTGCCTGGCCCAGCACTGGCTAGTGGCTGTGGACAGCCATGGGCTAGAAATGACAGGGAGCTCTTGCATGCTTGCCTGCCCCTCCCTGGCTTCCCACTGTACAACCAACATGGCTGCCCATTGACTGCCAGGCCAGATTATGCAACCCACAGCTGCAGGCTTCTTCTAGAAAGCCCAGTGCTGGGTGTGGCAATGCTCAGGAGTCCTACACCACGGGCCTGAGGCATTGCTACTGTCTGACGTGACAGCAAGAGACACTCGGGGGACTGCCCTCCTATGGCGAGGAGAGTGAGTGGCAGAGCTGGGAGTTGAACTCCAAGCGGCCTACCCCAGGTACCAGTGCAGAACCCCAGGGCCTGCTGCAACAGCCTCTGTGTGGTTCCAGCCAGAGATTGCTGGGTCACTGTTCTGTCCCTTGGTTCCATAACTTGGGGTGACCATCCCAACCTATCTGTCTGCAACACGCCCAGAGCTATGGGCGCTGAGGGCTGGGGCTTGGCAGACCTCTGGGAAAGAAGGATCTCTTCGCCCCAGGAGGTGGGTGGCCTATGCCAGACATGTGAGGCCCTCAGGCCACTGCCACACAGGTGAGTGCGACCTGTTGTCACCACGATGCCTCACAGGTGCTCCTGATGGCCCATGCCCTGAAGCGCATCCTCTATGCCACCTGGTGCCCAGCTGCCTGTCAGTTTGCTTTTGTTTCCCGGAACCCACGCAGCCCAGCCAGCAAGCTTTTCTGCCACCTCTTTGTGGGGAGCCAGCCTGGAGAGGTACCTGAGACCCAGGGGGTAGTGTGCCTTGAGGGGACTGTGCTGTCATCAGGTGGTAGCAGTGAATCCGTGCCTCACCATCCCGGCTTTTGGCTCTTCCCTCGTAGGACCCTGTGTAGTAACATTCCCTAGACTAACCGGTACTTTTCTCTGCTGTAGGGTGCCCACCCTCCCTCATCCTGGCTAGTTCCCATCACCCTTCAAAGCCCAGCCCACCGGAATGTAACATGATCCACACTCCAGCAAGGGGCTGTCCCTGATGACAAGACCCTTGAGTCCTTTAACTGCAGAGGCTTGCTCCAGGTTTTGAGTTGTCCCTAGGTGACCCTGTGTAGCACACGGGGTAGGTCATAGGCAGGTGTACTAGAGGGCGTGGTCACCTGTCATTTAGTGAGTTCCGGCATTTGGCCTCACCTCTGGACGTGGACCCTGGGTGGCAGGTGGCTGAAGCTGAGGGTTCCACCATCCTGGGTCTGGATTGTGTGAGTGAGTAAGGGGGTTCCATGTTCAGGCCCCAGACAGTGCCCCATCTCATTAACTCCTCAGAGGATCGTGGGGAGGCGAGGATGAAGAAACAGGCACAGGGGCGCCATGCTGTCCCCTAGGTCACCCAACAGCTCCTAATTGAGAGAGCCGGGGCCAAGGCTGCTAGCTGCTCCTTCTCGGGGTGTTGAGGGCTGGGGCACTGGGAGGATGTTGAGTGTGGTGTAGGCGTGCAAGCGGGCCCAGGGTTGTGCTCTCTGCTCCCAGCTTGAGGCCCGGCACAAACTGACTTGGTAGTGAACAGACTAGAGAGAGCTGGTAGCTGTCGGGGGCTGCCTGGGGTGGGATTTTGAGTGCTAAGTAGGAGTTTTCCCGGGAAGTCCTGGGAGGGGTACCCGAAGCCAGGGGGGCATTTGCAGCTCTGAAGAGTGGGCTGGTGCATGAGGGACTTCCGGGACACTGCTGCAGCTGAGCCCACCCCTTCTGTCCTAGGTCCAGATCCTGTACCTGCTGCTCTGCCGCTCCTTCCAGCTTGCTTACCTCCTGCAACACCCGGAGGAGAGGGCACAGCCTGAGCCCTGCCTGGGGCCAATGGGGGACACATCCCCGAAGCCACTCTGCAGCCCTGGGGCACCCCCTGCCCTAGTGCGAGAGCCCTTTAGCCGGGATCAGCTATCACAGAACGTCCACGCCCTGGTTTCCTTCCGTCGAGTTCCTGCAGAAGGGCTACTGGACAGTAGTGGGGTATGCAGCACCCCAGTCAGGAAGTGGATGGGGGGAAGGATCAGGGGCTTGGGGGTTATGTTGGAGGGGTGGGATTCTTGCAGGGTTCGCCTGGGCTCTAACAGATGGGTTTGAATCTGCCTGCCCACGGGCCCCTCTTGGTGCCCTAGAAGGAGCTGCCAGAGCCCGAGGGCCGCGGTGGCAGCCGTCACACTCGCCTGGGGAACCCCTACTGCTCTCCCACACTGGTGCGCAAGAAGGCCATTCGCAGCAAGGTGATCCGCTCTGGGGCCTATCGAGGCTGCACCTACGAGACTCAGCTGCAGCTATCAGCACGGGAGGCCTGTGAGTTGGAGGAGGTGGCTGGCTGGCTAGTGGACTTGTCAGGGGGCAGGGATTCATGAATAATTTTTATTATGATGATTTATTTATTTATTATGTATACAATATTCTGTCTACATGTATGCCTGCAGGCCAGAATAGGGCACCAGACCTCATTACAGATGGTTATGAACCACCATGTGGTTGCTGGGAATTGAACTCAAGACCTTTGGAAGAGCAGGCAATGCTCTTAACCGCTGAGCCATCTCTCCAGTCCCATGCATAATTTTTTTGAGGCTGTGACCTCACCCCCTAGTACCCGCCCTCCTCCCCTGATTGCCTGTGCATCAGGCTTGAGGGAGACTAAACATTTGTATATGGACTTTAGCTGGTGAGCGTAGGGTTTCTGGTGGGGGACCAGCGATAGGGGTGTGTGTGTGGTAGAGGAGCAGGTCTGGCATTGAGAGGGTCCTCCATGCTCCTTCTGATCTCTGTGGTCTCCGCAGTTCCTGCTGCCTGGGAGGCATGGCCCCGCAGCCCTGGCAGTCCCTCGTGCCTGGTGGAGAATGAGGGTAGCTTGACTGAGAACATCTGGGCTTTTGCTGGCCTTTCCAGGTAAGGGAGCTCTGTCCCTTGGGTTTGTGAGGCCGGCCCCTGTCCTGTGTGTATGGGGTGCATAGGCAGAGTGTATGGGCCTTGACTGGGGGGTGTGGGATGCTCCCAGCTAGGTCAGGGCATGGTCTTTTTCTACCTGAACCTCAGTTTTCCAGAATGTAAAATGGGAGAGGAACAAGACACAGTGTCTGGCCTGTCCCTGCCAGCCTTTCCAAGGTTCCTCAGACCTCTCCTGACCAGGGCCTTGAAGTCAGCAAGTCAGGTCCCCAGAAGGCCTGAGTTCCTTCGAATTCTGTTCACGGGGTGGCTGGCTGATCTGGTCCAGAACATCTGAGAGCACACATCAGTCCTCTGTCACCACCATCAAGCTCTTGGGGCTAGGGTCAGACTGGTGGTCTTAACCTTGACTCTGTCCCCCCAGGTCCTGTGCTCTTGCCCTGCTGCGGAGAGATGTGCATGGGGCCTTCCTGCTGTGGCCAGAACCGGGGACCAGTGATCAGTGGAGCCTGTCTGTACGGACCCAGTGTGGCGTGGTGCCTCACCAGGTCTTCCGGAACCACCTGGGCCGGTACTGCCTAGAGGTGAGACTGTGGGGTTCCCCTAAGGGGCTTCTAGCTCCACCCCCGCGCTGGCTCCATCCCTTGTCATGCTTACTCTGCCCTCTTCCAGCCCTCTGAGCTCCTGAACCCAGCTCACTTCATCCTGCCCGCCCACTGGGTGCTCTCTGGCCCCACCCCTTCTCCTAGTCCACTCCTGTCCCCTTGGCCCTGCTGGTTCTACTTCTGTTCTTTTGGGGTTTTGTTGTTGTTTTGTTTTGTTAAGACGGGGTTTCTCTGTATAACTCTGCTTATCCTGGAACTCACTCTGTAGACTAGGCTGGCCACAAATTCAGAGAGCCTCCTGCCCCTGCCTTCCTGTGCTGGGAGTAAAGGCGTGGGCCACCACACCAGCCCTTACTTTCATTCTTTCTGGCTGGGTGCTAACCACAGACATCAAGGAGAATCTCTGAGGTTCCTGACCACCGAGGTCCTCCCCTCTAGAGGAGTCATCCAGAGGTTACCTCCAGTAGAGCTGACCTAAAGGCACACAGCTTCTGAGTCTCTGGTCTGATTCCAGGACTGGGCTGGGAAGGCTTTTACACGGCGTCTGTACTTCCATACCAACTGCCTCAGTCCTGCCCAGGTTGGAAAGAATAGGAAATGGTGACTGGTCCCATGGTCACTGCACATTCCGCCTTTCCAATTGTATCCCTCTCCATGATGGGAGACCAGGGTGGGGGTGGGGTGCTGATCTATGGCATGAAGCGTGGGGCAAGGAACAGAGCTAAAGACCCTTCCTCCCCAGCACCTGCCAGCAGAGTTCCCCAGCCTGGAGGCCCTGGTGGAGAGCCACGCCGGGATGGAGCGCAGCCTGTTCTGCCCACTCAGCATGGGCCGTCTGAACCCCACCTATGAAGAGCAGGACTGTGGTCCTGAGGGCAGGCTCCCACGGACTCTGCGACCCCTCAGCCACGCCAAGTCCGAGGCAGAACTGCAAGGCCTGGGCTAGGATGCAAGGCCTCAATCCCCTATGGGCCTGGCCTTGCCTTGGCCCCTGGGCTACGGCAGCCACTCTGCCCTTCTTGTACCCTGCTCGCTGGTCAGCAGCTTCAAACAGGTCCATCTGCCCCTTGATCAGTCTTCCATCACTTCACTGCCCATGGGAGGGGAGCCCTGAGGTTGGAGCTGGAGATAACAGGGCTTCTCGCAGGACCTGGGGCCAGCTGAGACACCAGGATGAGCAAGCAGGTAGACCTAAGGGTTGGTAACTCTTGGTGAGTTTGGGCGGTAGCTATTGCCAGGTTCCCACTGTCCTCCTTGTGCCGAAGCTTTCCCAGTTGCCCTGGCTGGAGGAAGCTAAGCCTCTGCTGGACAGGGAAGCCCAGAGAACTCCCATAGGGAACCAGGTGCTCAGGGAATTGGAGGTTTGCCATCCTCAGCTCACTTCCCGGGGTCAGTGCACAGAGTGGGGCCCGTAGTGAGCAAACCTCAGTCAGTGTGGTAACTGCTTTAGGAAGCCAGCAGATGCTGGCCATTGGGCGTGGCTGGCACTGGTCACCTCATTGGTAAGTCAGCCCTACTTGCAATGAAGAACTAGAATTAACCCAAACCCCACAGAGGGGGGTGTGGCCTGAGCAGTGGGAGAACCAGGGATACATTCTAGAGGAAGGCAGTGGCAAATCCAGGTGTCCCTACATCAACTCAGCAGAATATATGAATCTACCCAAAAGAACAGACTTCTTAGCCAGGAGGTGGTCACACACCCCTTTAATCCCAGCACTCGGGAGGCAGAGGCAAGTTTTGAGGTCAACCTGGTCTACAGATGAGTTCCAGGACAGGCAGAGCTACACAGAGAAACTGTCTTAAAAAAACAATAAACAGACTTCTTTTAGAAGCAGAGGTAGAGGCACGGATGGGAGAGGATGTTTGTTTTCAGTGCCTTGGGGACCATAGGTTTGGGGTTTTGGATCCCAAGGAAAAGAAGGGGACAGCCTCTACAGAACAGAGAATGGCCTAACCTGGGAGCAGGAGGCAGGCCAGGCCTGGTACTTCCGACTTCTAGCACCCACCCATACATACACATCCTAGGATAAGCTAAGGCCATTGTCATCTCTTTCGAGTGACATGTCTCATGAGGGATGGAGAGAATGGTGTCTGTGGGAACCTTTCAGAGGGATAATACCCCACCCCGACTGGATGTGGGTGGTATTCCTTCTATGGCCATTTCCACTGGCATCCCCCACTCTGAGTAGGGGCCTGGTCCCCAGGAAGAGCAGAGGGATTAGCATATCCTGTGCCTAGGATTTCAACCCCAGAAAGTTCCACCTAAGGAAAGCTGGTGACTAACTGGCCCAGACTTTAGATCAGCGCTCACCCCCAGGAGGGTGTGTGCACAGCGTGAGTCACCGCTGTAGGCCATACCAGGGGATATTCAACACATCCAAGGGATATGCCTTCTCCATACCCCTTAACACTTCTTCCAGGGCTTTTACTGATCCCATGGTACAGACCGCACAGTTTGGAGCCCATGTGTTCAAACTGTGTCTTAATTACAGACCATAGTTCTGTCTTTATTCAAACATCACCAAACCCCCACTGTGTGGACTTCGAGAGAAATAAAACACATTTCTTCATGGTTTATTGCAGTTCCTTGAGTGGCTAGATCTTCATCGACCTTTTCTTGTTTTGCTTTTCTTTGCCAAACATATTTTTTTTTCTTTTTAAAGATTTATTTATTATGTATACAACATTCTGCCTCCATGTATGCCCGCACGCCAGAAGAGGGCGCCAGATCTCGTTACAGATGGTTGTGAGCCACCATGTGGTTGCTGGGAATTGAACTCCGGACCTTTGGAAGAGCAGTCCGTGCTCTTAACCGCTGAGCCATCTCTCCAGCCCCCTTTGCCAAACATATTGCAGATGGTATGGGATGGTGAGCCTAACCGAGGTCCTGGCCACCAGGGTCCAGGAAGAAACGGAAGGGAGTGGTAGGGCTTGGTGGAGAGATCTTCTAAGAAAAAGACCCAAGGGCCAGCGAGAAGGCTCACTGCTTTCTGTTGAACCTGCTGACCTGAGTTTGATCCATTGGGCCCACATGGGGGAAGGAGAGAACCATTTCCTACAAGTTGTCCTCCGGCCTCCACATTCGGTGTACGTTTGTGCATTCGTGCAGCTGCACCCACGTGCAAACACACACACACACACACACACAATTAAAAAAAATTAAGACCGTGCTGCTAACTCAGGCTTGCTTACTGCCCCAGCAACGCAGACCATTTGCACAGCCTAGGCCTGCCTAAGCCTGATCTCTGCTCCAGTTAGACCTAAGATACTTGTCCTGACTCCCTCCTGCAACTGAATTAGTAGTTCATTTGTAGTCACTTTGGTGTGTGTGCGCGTGCGCGTGCGTGCGTGCGTGTGTTTCCCTTCCAATGTTAGTTTTCCCTACTAGTCTCCAAGAGGGCTGCCTTCCCAGCGCCTGCCATATGACTGACATCATGGTATTTCTGCAGAGGAACCCTCAGGAACATTGCAGATGGGTGGATGGTTGGTGACTTAAACTGGGCCGGGAGATTAAGCTGTGTGGTCTTTCCAACAGAAAGACTACCTCCTAAAGTTTTTGCCTTTTTAATTTTTTTTTAAAAGTACATTTATGCTGGGCAGTGGTGGCTCAGAGTTCCAGGCCAGCCACGACAACACAGAGAAACCCTGCCTTGAAAAACCAACCTCCCCCAAAAGGCCTCCAAAACATTTACTTATGTATGTGGACCCCTTGCAAGTCAGTTCTCTCCGTGTGGGTCCCAGGGGTCCCATCAGGCTGGGCAGCAAGCGCCTTTCACTAGCTAAGCCATCTCGCTGGTCCAGTTTTCGTGTCTTTTAAAATCCCAACTCTTAAGACTGGCTCTATCATCTGGAAGCTTCACTGTGCCATAAGGAACAGCTAAGTCCATGTCACCCTCTCAGTCTCTAACCCCTGAAGAAGGTGAAGTTCCAGATTTTTAGCCTGGTTGCCTCTGCCGGATTGCTGAACCTCTGGGCTGGAGCTGCGAGGCCTGGGAGACAGTGAGGAGGGTCAGGGCTGCCCCTACCACAGGGTGCATCCCAATCCGTCAGCCTGCAGCCGGGCTCTCCGGTTCTGGGCGTTCGGCGGTCCGCCCTGTGATGTCACGGACGTTGCCCGGCAACGGCGAACGCCGAGACGGCGTGCACGAGCGCGAGCGTGGCCCGACCAGCTCCGGGGCTCGGGTCGTGCGGCGGCGCTTGCAGCGCGGATCCCCCGTTCCCCGCCCGGGCCCGGCCTCAGGGACGGGCGAGCCCGGACGCGGGAGGCGGCGGCCCGGGCTCCAGCCCGGAGACTTGTCCGCCGCGCCCCAGCTGCTCCCTGCGCGCCCCGCGCGGAGTCCCGGCCCCCGGCTGCGGCCCCGCCCCTGCCGTCAGGCCACGCCCCACGAGGGCTCTGGCTCCACCCCCTGGAGTGGGCCACGCCCCCGGGTCTCGCGGGGCGCTATGGCTTCGGAGTCCGTGAAGGTGGTGGTCCGCTGCCGGCCCATGAACCAGCGCGAGCGCGATCTGAGCTGCCAGTCGGTGGTGACGGTGGACTGCGCGCGCGGCCAATGCTTCATTCAGAACCCAGGAGCGGCTGACGAGCCCCCGAAGCAGTTCACCTTCGACGGCGCCTACTACATGGACCACTTCACCGAGCAGATCTACAACGAGATCGCCTACCCGCTGGTGGAGGTGAGGGTGCCCCGAGATTGCAGGGCCAGGCTTGGGGCTCCCCGAAAGTGGAGACGGGATAGGTTGGTTAACTCAAGCCCCTGCTGCCCAAGCCAAGCGAGGAGGCGCCGGGCACAGGAGAATAGAGACAGGTTAGTTGGAAGGTTTTGTCCTGGCTGCAGACATTTGGCACCTGTCTCCAGTGTGGTGTCCCCATTGAACCCAGCAACCCAGCCGGTCCGCACCTCGTCCTTTGCAGCCCTTACCACAGAACCTAGGACCACTCAACGCCCCAACTTGTCGTGACCCTCATCCCTTGCAGCCCCTTGACCACAGACTCCAGACCCAGATCCCCAGGTCCTCTGCACTCATTCCAGACCTGCAGAATCCTGAAAGCCCCCACCATTTCCCTCAGCCTTCTTCCTTCCCAAGAGTCCCAAGATTCTTCTCTTCTAACAGGTGATGGTCCACATTTGCTCCCATTTCAGTACCCCCCCCCAAAGTCCTCCTCATTGCACGCTCCTCTTTTCATGAGAGCAGCGGAGGAAACTCCTCTTTCTGAGAGAGAACAGTGCGTGGCTTCCGTAATGTGCCCCAGTATCTGAGATTCGGAGAGGTTCTGCTGCAAAGAAACCCATTTGACTTTACTGACCTGGCCTTGCCAAAACATTTAACGTAGCTGCTTTCTGTTCCAGCTGTCCTGCCTGTTGGGAGGGCTGATGTATTCCGAAGCCTCCACACTGTCTGGCTTTGAGCCAGGAGTAAATGCACCATTAAAGTCTAGGGTCAAGTGTGTATCTCTGCTCTCTTGAGCTCTGACCCTACTCCCAAAGCTTTCTGACTGGTGATGTGGACCACAGAGCTCTTGGCAAGAGGTGATTCCCTCGGAATACTCAGAGGACGATGGATAGTTCCCCCAAAGGGGCTGGTCCCACTCTCTCAGAATAGCTTAGTTGTCTATCTGCTGGCCAGGTGTTCTAAGCTAGAAGGGACCCAAGAGGTCATCTGACTGGGTCCCTCTTGTTTATATCAGGTGTCTGAATCTCCATCACGTAAAGAACCAGTTCTTGCTTGCGTGTCTTCAGTGGCTGAAGTTCATGCTTCTAAAGTATTCTGTTCCTCTTTGGTTTCATGGTCTTCAGAATTTTACACCCACTCCGAGGCATCCTGGGAGCTTTCCATCCTTCCATGGTCCCAGGGACCCTGCAGGGCACTGTCTTCTTCTATCTAGGCTTGGCATCTTGAAGACTTGAACTCGCGTTCTTCCGTGGCCTTGATTCTTTCTAGGGATGTCTAGGGCTGTCAGGGTGGGGCCTCAGTTGCCTGCTTTGTGGATTGTGCAGTAGCCAAGCAAGTTCCACCCAGAGAGGAAGACACTAAGGACACAGTGACAGGCCTGTTGGATCGCTCTTCCACCAGCTTTCTCTTCTGAGTCCCACTGTGCAGCCCTATCTCTAGACACTCCCCAGACCTCAGATTTGACATCCATCCATTCACCCATCCATGTAAGGAAACACTACCTTTTTCACTGTGAGCCCCCGGGTTGTGGGGAGGGTGTGTGAAGGCAATAGGACTTGCCTTCATTAAGGTCAAAGGAAAAACAGCTAAGCTAACCTTTAGCAGTTGGTGATAAGGGATGGGCAGCATGGGGAGGCCAGCAAACCTTGGGAGAGATGGAGGGGAGAACAGACTAAGATAGGACCTGCAGTATGCTAGTCAAGCAGAAGGTGGAAGGCTGTCAGGGAAAGACTGGCGTGTAGCATTTGATCCTCACAAGAAGAGCTGGAGTCGTTCTTGTCAGAGAAATGACTGAGGCTTGAGGAGTCATGGAACAAATTAGGGACAGTTCCGGATCCCTGTGTCCAGATTCCATGCTCCCATGGGCATGGAAAGCCCATGCAGGTCACAGCCCTAGCTGCTTAAGCATAAGTGAGGCCAGTGGCTGGGTAGACCATGGGCCTGCCTGCTCTGTCCCTCTCCAGGGCTTCTGGGCAGGTAGCTTGGGTCTCCTAGCCAGGATCCTCCCCCAGCTCCTGTCCCATGCTGTCCCCATACTTCACATCCACTTTATCTTTTTCCTTCCATCCTCCATCCCTTCAGTCCAGCCTCTGTCCTTCATCTCTTGTCTCTGACTGAACTTTTCAACTCTCCTGGAGCTTCCTTCTCGACACCATCCTTGGCTGACTCCTATCCCATCCTGCCTGATCCAGCTTCTGCCGCCTCTTTAACCAGCAGCCCTGGCATCCCATCTCCGGCCCCTGACAGATTTCTCCAGAGTTGCCTCTTGATGAATTACCTCTAGTCTCCCCTAGTGCTCCATAGCCACAGCTTCTGTTATGACCGGACTAAGAAGGGTGGCCCCGGTTCCCTGTGCGGAAGCAGTGGTAGAACGTTCACCCAGGGGGACATTTGGGAGGGGGCGTACAGAAGATGTGGTACAATTTGGGACCGTTATTTCCACTTTGATTGAATAGTTGGAGGAAATATGTAGTATGTCTAGTGTGCTGTCATGAGGCTGATTGCTGAGGATGACACCAGGTTGGAGCTCCTTGCTGGGCTGGGAGCACAGCTCAAGTGTGGAGCCCTTGCCCAGCGTGTGTGATGCTCTAGGTTTGATCTCAGTACACACACACACACACACACACACACACACACACACACACAGAGAGAGAGAGAGAGAGAGAGGGGGGGGAGGAGATTAACTGTTGTTTTATCATCTTTTGCTCTTTGGGGGCCTGCCATCCAGCCCCCAAAATAATCACACGGAGACTTATTCTTACTTGTGAATGCCCAGCCTTAGCTTGGCTTGTTTCTAGCCAGTTTTTAATAAATTATCCTGGCTACCTTGTGTCTGTGGACTTTTATCTTTCTCTATTTCTGAATACCTTTCTTTACTTCTTACTCTGTGGCTTGCTGTGTAGCTGGATGG